TTTTTTTAGCTTCTACATATGAGTGGCTTTTTAATGAAGGAAGAACTCTCCTTTCTTTCTCATTTTCTTGTTTGCCATATGTATGTATTTACATATGTATCTATTCATTCATTCATCTGCATACCATAATGCATCACTTAATGATAGGGACACATTTTGAGAAATGGTGATTGCATCATTGTGTGAACATCATAGAGTGACTTACACAAAACTAGATGGTATAGACTGCTGCACACCTAGGCTATATGGTACAGCCTATTGCTCCAAGGCTACAACCCTGTAGAGCATGTTACTAGGTTGGATGCTGTAGTCAATTATAACATAGCAGTATTTGTGTATCTAAACATATCTAAACACAGAAAAGGTACAATAAAAATATGGTATTATAATCTTATAGGACCACTGTCATATATGTGGTCCGTTGTTGACTTAAATGTTACTATGCTGCACATGACTATATTTATTATCAGTGCGGCCTCATGGATTTCTGTTTTTTAATGGTTTGTAATATATTACAGTCCTTATTTATTTTGATATTCAGATTGTCTCAGATTTGGTCAGTGGGAGCCCCTTGTCACTGGCTTCTGTGTCCTTTTGCCTGTCATTTTTTTAGCACTTTCTTTCTTTCTGACGTGAGAAGATGATCCAAGCTCCTCTTGAATCTCCCCAGCCTCAGCCCTGGTATCAGCCAGTTCTCCCAGGAGCTGGTGTTCTCTTTAGTGGGGGAATGACTTGTGGTTGGTGCCATGATGGCTCTTTGCCACTGTCGGTGACAGAGTTATGAAAGATATGCACACCTGTGCACATCCACACACACTGCACGCACATACGCTCGTGTGTAGCATCCATGAGTTGAAACTCGTTCCCTTTCTTGTCAAAAATATTGATTCCTCCACTTATTTTTTTCTAGTACTCTGTAAATATCCTCTCCTCCGTTACTACTCTGGTGCCCACAGTCTAGCACAGCATCTGGCACCCAATTATTACTCAGAAAGTTTCTTTTGAATCAATCAATCAATCAATCAATAAATTTTGATACTGTGAATTGACCCTCTGCAGAGGAGATGTTAAAAATAAAGTTAAACATGAAAATCTTTCTTTTTCCTTCCTCTTTTTTTTTCTTTCTATAAACTTATGGTTAAATATATATGATAATCAGAGGTGGTTAGTCCCTATATCAGAATTTCAAGAACAGTGTATTTTCTGTTTTATTATATCTTTCATTCATCTGAAAACAAATACATCTCCGTAATGTATTTCTGTAATGGTTTTCTGAAAGTAATGTTCTAAGGTTTTTACTTTCTATTTTTTCACACTTCCTAGGTGGCTGGGATTGTTGGCAGAGCTGACGTGTTAGCGTGTCTGCTGTTCCTTTTGGCCTTTCTCTCCTACAATAGGTATGTGTGGCTGAGCGTGCCCTTCTCTGTGATCCCAACCATGTGTGTGTGCACACCCTGAGCGTGTGCTTCAGAGAAGAGGGGGACTTCTGTCTGTGATGATGCTCAGCGAGCTTTCTGGGGACCAGGGAGAGGAAACCCTTTCCTTATCCAGTGCTGGGCTGTTTCCTCACCTGCCCGTTCTGAGCATTTAAAGAGACCGCTTTCCCAGTGCTGAGAGCCCAGACTCTTGCTTCTTGCTTCCCCTTACTTGTAGTTTCCAACTGAGAATGGAATTTCGAATCTTTGCACTGAGCCAAAATATACTGGATGCAGTGCTCTGTTCTGTTTGCCTAGAATTTGTTTGATTTCTCCTTTTCATTTTGGTCCTAATTTTTTTCCTTTTTATTATCTTTACCAAAGTAGCTAAGAGCTTAAAATAACAAGGCTGAATAGAAAGTGGTATTTCTCAATTGTAGTTTGCCAATTTCCACATAGTTTCATCAAAATACAGAAATTCTTTCCTTTGGGAAACTGAAAAAAAACAGTCAAATAATTTCCCATTATATTGCATCTTTACCCCAGAGTGAGCAGATCCTCACCTGAGTTGTGACATGTCCACATGTGGAAAGAGGTGGGTTAGAAGAACATGAATGGGGGCAGTGGGCTCAGAGCATGGCCCAGGAAAAGGGGCAGGTCAACTATGTTGCCTTGCTTGGCAGATAGATGCCTGGTTAAGGATTTGTGAGCTCTGATCTTTGGATCAGTTTATTGACCTGTAATCTTACAAAGCCCAGTGACTCTGTTTGAAGAACACTATTCTAAACCAGTGGTTCTTTTTTATTTTTTGAGAGATAGGATCTTGCTCAGGCTGAAGTGAAGTGGTACCTTCAGCTCACTGCAGCCTCAAACTGCTGGGCTCAAGTGTTCCTTCTGCTTCAGCCTCCTGAGTAGCTGGGACTACAAGCACGCACCACCATGCCTGACTACACCAGTGGTTCTTAATTCAGGGTGATTTCTCTCCCTCTCCTAGCCACCCTCTCCCCGCCCCTGCCTGAGACATTTGGCACTATCTGGAAACATTTTTGATTGTTACAACTAAAGAGGTGTTACTGGCATCTAGTGGGTAGAGGCCAAGGATGCTGCTACATAAACATCCTACAATGCACAGGAAAGCCCCTCCAACAAAGCATTATCTGGCAGAAAAATGCTAATAGTGCCGAGATCGAGAAACCAATTTAGACCTGAGTCAAGAAGGAAATGAATGAAGTCTTATGAAGTTTTGTTTTGTATAAACAAAACCTTTTCTTAGTATAGTATCAGTCGTCGTGTCTTGGCTTTGTAACCTCCCACTGCATTCTTAACCATATGATATGGTGTTATGAAATCTTAAAATATAAACCAAAATTTAACAATCAATCGGTTCCTGTTTACTCTGGTGTTAGCACTGAATTAAGAGTTGCTTTTTAGTTTAAACTTGTTTGCTCAGGCTTTTTTGGTGTGGTTAATGTATTTGGGAACACGGGTAGGACTGCGGCATATCTTTATCTGTGTAATAGTCAGCCGTATTATTACAGGGTTTGCTGTGCATGCCATTCACTTTTAGAAACTTAAGCTGTAGACCAACTCAATAGACAAATGCCTATCTAGTGCACATTTTTGCATATAATTTTATGCAGTTGTTCTAAGACATAACACTAAGGAGAAGACATCACAACTGCAGAAATATTGGTCTTTACTTCAAAAGAGTAAGTACCAGTGGGTGTGGCACCTGCTGAAGGGAACAGTGACTTTTCTTGATATGGGGCCAGTTCTATTTCGTAAGGTGAAACAAACACTTTACAGCACTGGAGGGTTTTTGAAAATCCTTGCTGGACAGTAAACTGAGAAACAATAAACTTTTCTAATGCATGCTCATGGAAAATAAAAACACAGATAAGCCAAAAGGAAATAAAAAGGTTGAAATGTCTGTATTTTCATCACAGAGAGAAGTTCTGATTATATTTTGGGGTGTGTGTGTAGTGTGTGTGTGTGTTTATGTATATATAAAATCCCCACTGACTTCTTTGTTTTGTGTACAGAAGATGATGATGATAAACACTTGACATGTAATAAGTTATTTATTCAATCCTTTCTACAACATCCCATTTCACACATAAGGGAACTTTGCACAGAGATGCAAAGTAATTTGCCCCACGTTACCCTGTTCCTTAACTGCGGAGCTATGATGTGAACCCACGGAACCTGGCTCCAGAGCTCATGCGTGTGGTTTAATAACTCGTATTAGTCACTTAAAGTATATTCTCCTAACCATCTTCCCATATCACTAAATATGTCTCTGTGGTGTGAATAGCTTCTTAAATAGCTTTTTAGTGCTCATTTGTTACATACCATATTTTATCAAAATTTGTATATACCATGATATAAGTACCAAATTTAGTATTGTTGGGCATTTCCTTTTTTTCATCTTAGCAATTTTAAATATCTCTACGATAAACACTCTTGAAGAAATCTCTGCTCATCTACTTCATTACTTAGGATACAAATGAAATTGACATTACATCTTCTTTTTAAAAGGTAGTATTTCTTAGCAACCCACATATCTTTTTAGATTAAAAGAACCTCCAACTTGTTTTCCAGGAGTCTGGACCAGGGCTGTACTGGGGAATGTTTCCCTCCCACGGCCTCTCCCTTCTTCCTGCTGCTCAGTTTGTTTCTGGGGACCTGTGCGATGCTGGTGAAGGAGACGGGCGTCACCGTGTTTGGGGTGTGCTTGGTTTATGACCTCTTTTCCCTGTCCCACAAGCAAGATAAGTCGTAAGTCATTCTACAGTTTTGATATCAAGCAGTGTGTCATGGGCAGAGAAGAATTACTTAAAACAGTATGTTCCAAACTTTCATTTAAAAAAATACAAGTATAAATAAGACTTTGTTCAATGTAATCTCACTTTAGACCATATTATAATTGTTATATAATCATCAAGGCTTGTTGCATTGAGGTAAGTGGGTTATATATATATTCAAACTCTTCACATTCTTATAAAAATCAATGAGGACTGTGAAGTTTTTGTGAGCCTCAAATTTAGAATTGAAAAGTATTTATGATAACTGCAAATTTATATTGCTAGTTTGTTTTGGTTGTATACTGTTGAGAAAATCTTGCTTCACACAGAGCAGTGGTTGCAAATGGTTAGCAGGTTTTAACAGCTTGCTTTGAATCTCTTCATTCGAATGAGTGTCATCCATCAGAGCCCTGCTCACCTGGAGCCTGTTTGCCTGCTGTCATAGTGATGCTGTTACCTAAGAGTTTTAGGAGGCGTCTAGTGGAATTCCACAAAAGCCACAGAGGAATGTGTACACATCATGTTCAAATTAAAAAACAAGCTTATTTGGTGGCCCATTTTTCATTTAAAAAATTTAAGGCACACTGATTTTATTCTGTAGCTCACAGATGATAAAGAATCACTGAGGCATATTAAAAGTTCAAGCACATACTGTAATTTTCTTCCCCCGTCGAATCCATAATTACTAACAATTTTACAAGCAGACCCCATTTTCAGTAATTATAAGGCCCTCACTTTTGAACTTTTTAAAGATAGGGCTGATTTATTCTCCTGCCTTGTCAGATGAAAAGTTTTATGTTTAAAAATAATCCTTCCTTTTTATTGCACTTCTTAACGTCTTTATACATCTTGACATAACGGCAAGAGCAGTGCTTTTGAATGGCAACAAACTGAGATGAGTCAGGAAGTTCTGATCACCTTCCTGCCTGGGAGTGTGATAGTTGAGATAATTTTAAGAGTGTAGAGCTCTGCTGGCTCTCAGTAAACCTCAGAGGCATGTGAAAGGAAAGAGCCCAGTGATCACTTTGACTCAGGCTTGTGCCAAGAAAACTATGAGCCAGAGGCTGCCGAGTGCCTTACCTTTTAGAGAACAACCTATAAAATCCCTTTCTACTCTCTACTGTCTTCTCACATCCACCTTGTCCTTACCTCCTAACTTCTTTCTCCTATGCCTCACCGACGGCAAAAAGGTAGGATAACCGACTGTAGGTGCATTCTGTCATGTGGTCCAGTCCAGAGCTGATTTAATGATGTCATTGAAGCCGTGTCTCCTCTGGTCTTGGGACTCTAGCCCACTGTTGCCTATGCTCTCCTTTCTCTCCTCTTCATCTAGTCACTGTTGAGCCAGACTTCTTTCAAAGGGGATAATTTTTGCTTTTCTTTCTTTGATGATCTTTCTTAGCCTTCATAATACTAAACTGCTAGAAGTTCTATGGAAGGAATGATACTGCTGATACATAGCTTACAAGTCCCACAGCTAATAGTCTGTTTTTTTTTTTTTAAGGAGCTTTTAGCTCTCACACCCAGCGGTGCTGCATGAGTGGAGGCATTCATTCTTTCCTTCATCCTTTTATCTACCCATTCAACACATACTCATTCTGCCTGGCCAAGAACAAGACAGATAAGTTTCCTTCCCCCAAAGAGCATGCAGGATATTGGTGGAGATAGACATTACATAAGTAATTACATGAGTAATTGATTATAGTTGTGAAAAGTGGGAGGAAGGAACCAGAGCATGTAACAGGGAGATCTGGCCAAAATATCTCTTAAGCCCTGGCTGAGCGGTAGGCACTGTGCCACTCCATTTGCTCATAACCACCATTATCCTCATTTCACAGAGGAGAAAACAGAGGCACAGAAAGTATCCTCCCCACAGTCACCCAGCCCAAGTGGAGCCAGGATTGGGACCCATGTCGGCATGGCTCCAGAGCCCTGAGTACCAGTGCCTCTGTGGAGGGAACATAGGACAGGAACTCAGGACCCCTCACAGGACATCTGATGCCCAGGCACCGTGAGACAGTTACACCAGCTTGGAGGTTCTGAGTGTTTAGGAGAGGGGGAGTCATAGACTCCTTTGAGGATTTCACAAAGTTGTGTCCCCAGGATAATGCACACAGAAACACACATAGTTCTGCACACTTAGGGATCTGCCCCCCCCACACACACTTTGTACTTTATCTGCTAATTTAGAATAAACGTTTTAGTATTAGGTGGTTCTTGAGATCTTTCATTGTGTGACTAAGGCAGCAGGAAAGAAACAGGAATAGAAACAAATGTTAGAAGCACTTTCCTACAAGAACAGCAATTTAAATTTTAAGATTGGGCTAGATTTCTTTTATTTGACATCACCTTTAGGAGGAAAGATTTTTTAATGAAAGGTTAGCTCCTGAAAGTTAACTTTCTTTTTCTTTTCTTTTTTTAAAAATTAGGATATGATTTCCAACGTGTAGAAAATAACATTCCCTGTCCCCAGTCCCTCCCCTGTCTTTTTCTCTAGAGGTAACCACAATCCTGAATTTGGCACTTTTCACTTCTGTGATTGTTTTTATGACACTGCTTCATATGTATATACCAGTGAATATCAGATAGGATTATTGTATATATTTTCAAGCTTTACATAAATGATGTTACTTCCTTTTTTTTTCGTTTAACATTGGACTTTTGAGATACATACATATTGATAGAGGTAGCTACATTTCATTCATTTTAACTGCTGTGTAGTATTTAATTATTACAATTTATCCATTCTTATGGATTTGGAATTCAGGTTACTTCCACATTTTTGCTATTGTAAACTGTGCTGCAGTGAAACTTTTTGTGCATGTGTTCTTGTGCAAATCCATGAGGGTTTCTTAACTATAGTAGTGGAGCTGCTAGGCAGAGGACAAATACACACGGACTGTGTTACATCCTGAGACATTGCTCCTGAAATGGTTGCAGCAATGAATGAGACTCTTCTTTGTTTCACTTTCTTACCATCACTTGGTAGTATGACTTTTTAATTTTTGCTCATGTAGTGGTTGTGAATTGTATCTCAGAGGATTCATGACAGAAAAATGTAATCAGAGTACATTGGATGGCTCAACTGTGAACACTATTTTATAAGATCACAATAATGTCAATCCATTTCAACCAAATATTATGAGAGAAATATATTGGAGGGTGAGCAGTGAAGGGGTGTGTGTGTGTGTGTGTGTGTGTGTATGTGTGTGTGTGTGTATGTTGGTGGCCACTTAAGAGAGAGTTCTAGTTTTCTATAGTAGGAAATCAATATGACAAGTTCCAAAATTGAAAAAAATACATAATTATGTTATTTTTACAATTCAGCAGTAAATATCAGAAACAAAAGAGCTAAAGACCTGAGAATGGTTGCAGGGAGTGGGACTTGGGGGTGGGGCAGGGTACTGCTATTTCTTCTTGCAAGCCTTGTTCTTCTGTTTGACTTTGTTTTCCCTCAATTCCATGCACAATTAGGAGCAACGGAGTCGTCCATCAGCGCAGCCCCCAGCAGCCTGGGAGCCCCCAGCCCGCCTCTCTGCCAGCACACCCTCATCGGGAGAGTGGGAAGCAGCAGCGGTTCCCTCACAAAGGAGCCTGGGGTGGCTGCCACTCCTCACTGCCACCAGAGCCCAAAAGCAGTGGATTCCCGGTGTCCCCGCGAGCTGTGTGGTCCCTGATGAGGTACTGGGCTGGGTTTCTTGTTCCCTGTGTGTCTTCCATGTCCAGCGTCATCTAGGGGTGCCTGGAGCAGTGAAGCGCTAAGTCAGCTCTTTGTGGGAATACGCCCCCCCCCCAAAAAAAAATGTTTCCCTCCTAACCTTTCCTTTCTCTCCCTTTCCTGCCCTTTCTTGCGTGTATTAGATTGGATAAGAAAGGAGTAGTTAGAGGAAGCAAGTGGAAGCCCTGCTGTCTGGCAGTTGGGTGTGGGGTGGTGAGGCACGGGTCTGTGAAGCCTCGAGTGTCAGAAGACAGGCTGCTCCATTCCCCAGCCGGGGGAGGCGAGCACTCTCTCTCCCCGCCCGCCTCTCCCTGCTCTTTGTGTTTGATCGGAATTTATTACAGCACAAGTATGGGAGGAAACCAACCCAGAGGACCATTCCTCTCTGAACTTTTTTTGAAGATTCAGGAAAATCTTTAGAGCTAGGACTTCCTTCCTTCCTTCCGTCCTTTCTTCCTTTTTCTTTGCTCCAGCCGTGAAAATTAACATGGATTTATCAGCACAAGTGCTCACTAAATTAGGTTGCCTCTAAAATAGCTCAAGCCACGGGCAAGTCAGAATTTAACAAATATGTGTTAGAAGATAAACTTAGGCACATTACAATTTTAAAGAGTTTATTTGAACAGACAGTGATTAATGCATTGGGCAGCTCCAGACACAGGGGCTTGGGCCCCTGCTGGAGGGGACTGAGGGGAAGGCTCTTAGAGGGCGAATGCAGAGGCAGAGCAGTTTGATTGGTTAAAGTGTATGGGGAAGGAACTGAGGGGAAGGCTCTTATAGGGCGAATGCAGAGGCGGAGCAATTTGATTGGTTAAAGCAGAGCAGTAGTCTTACTTGGATCATTCCATTGGAAAGTCCCTGGTTAGAGGTGGGTTGGTGATTTCTGATTGGTTAAGGTTAAGTTTCATTCTCCCATTTACACTGAGTTGGGTTTCCAGTTGCTTCTGTAGAAACCCAGGGTGCTGGAACAGCCTTAGCCTGATGGCCTCCGAATTATTCTAACGTATGGAAATTCCATTCATAGTATTAGCACTTTACCACTTCAGATTGCCGTTCTTATTCTTCTACATAGTCCTTTAAAACTCCCTCATTTCCGGGTGTTTGTTTCCAATTATTCTCACCTTTGCCTGTTTTTTTTTTTTTTTTGATCTTGCTCCATTCATTCATTCATCAGTAAATATCTATTGAGGGCTGACATGTGCCAGGCATGTTCTAGAAACCAGTAGTATCCTGGTAAATAAGAAAGACCAGTGCCTTGCTCCTGTGTAGCTGTTCTTCTAGTAAAGGGAAGTAGACAATAAATAATCAGCAGTGACTGCACAGTGTGCTGCTGGGTGATGGGAGTGATGAATCAGCATGGGGAAAGTCAGGCTGGTTGATCAGGGAAGGCTCTGGAATCTTTCTGAATGAGGAGAGGAGCCAGCCCTGGAAGAATCTGTCTGAGGATTCCAGGCTTGAGGGTGCCCAGCAGGTGGGGAGAGAAGGGATGAGGGCAGGGCGTAGGCAGGGCCCAGATAATAAAGGGCCGTGTGGGCAGGGGAAGCAGGTGTGGGTCTTATTGTGTGTGCAATGGGAAGATGGGGTTTTTTGGTTTTTGGTTTTTTTTCTTTTTTAAGGGTTATACACACATGATTACGTTTCTTTTTAAAAATACTGACTCTGGCTTTAAAAATACTGACTCTTTGTGGTGCAGCATGTTGGGGGTCAGTAGTGAAGAAGCGAGAAGGGTTAGGAGGCTTTTATACAGACCATGTGAGGAAAGAAAGAGTCTTGGCTGAGAGCAGTAGGAACTGAGAGGAAGAGACAGGGTGAATTTGGGATGTATTTTCAAGACAGCTCTAACAGGACTTGCTAATGTTTGGGATGAGCGTGTGAGGGAAAGGAAGAAAACAAGGATTTTCGGGTTTTTGGCCTAACCCGTTGGGGGGATGGTGGCATCAGTTACTGAGCAGAAAAGCTAGGGCAGAACTAGTTTTCTGAGGGTTGGGGAGAGGGTAAGATCAGAGTGATGCATGAAATTCCTGAGGGAAAGGGAAGAGGGATAAATGATCAAAGCACTAAGAAAATCTCACCCTTTTTTTGTTGAGGGCCACAGAGGAAAAGAAGACAGAACAATTGGGAAAATTGTAAATTTTTTAAGGAAGGCAAAAGAGGAGGGAAGAAAGGTGTTAAGAGAGTATTGGAGACTTTCAAGGCCGGATAGAAGTTAGACGGCAGTGTGGCTGTGGGCTCCACGAGGGCAGCACCGTGCCTTGTTCCTACCACAGTGTCTGGGTAATAGGAGGTGCTTAAATATTTGTGAGATGAATAAAATAATGAATGGATGAAAGGAAAGTATTGGAAATAACCATACGTAGAACATTCGCAGTAAATTTGGCAGTGAAGGAGTGAGGAGAAAGGTTGTTAACTGGAGAGATGTTCATTTTTTTCATTTTTATTTTGTGAATGTGTGTGTGTATTCATAGATAGACTACAGAGAGCACAGATGAAAGATGCTGGAGCAGAAGGGGATAAGATGAAATAGAATACCAGTGGTGTGCTGATGAATGTTTAATAACCAGCTCTCCCAAGAAAGGAATTCCTGATTTGTAGTGTTTGCTAATTTCCATGTAGATACTCCCACCATAGCTGATTTCAAGCTGCAAGTGTGACATCACTGCCCATAGGGTTGGCAGAGATAATTCCATTATGCAACAGACCAAAAAAAAAAAAAAAAAAACAACTCAAGAGCATAGGTAACAGTAAAGTAAAGTAAACTAACTTGGAAATGATGAGCTTTGAGTATTTATTACCTTTGTTTTTAATATGATTTGTTTAATTTTAAGTTTATGTAAGTTAATTTTCAATAATGGCTGCTTTTAATAACTGGCCTGCAAAATCCCTAAAAATCTAATAGTCAACTCTTGCAAGTCAAGCTCCAGCACACCAGTGAAGAAGGTCCTTCAGGAGGGGAAGGAAAACTTTGTATCTGTTACTGGGGACCAAGAAGGGGGCTGGCACGTCCCATATGTTATCCCAGGCAACCATCACAATATCTGTGTAGCGCAGATATTATAATTCCCAATGCCATGAGGAAACTGAGGATCTTAGAGGTTAAAGATCACAAGATCCCAGGTTCATGTAGTTAGTTTAAGTGGTAGGGCTGAGACTGGAACCCAGGCTGTTTGATTGCTAAACCTGTGCTTTGCCCATTTACCATGCTCTAAAGTCCAAAGTCCTAGGCGAGGACTTGGCTTTAGGGAGGAGGCTCCATGTAGAGCTGGTCTCCCTGTTGAACTCTCAGGGGGTAGAAAGATTCTTACAGTCATCCTTGAGTCCACAAATGAGACACCTCTTTACTTGCTTCAACATGGACTGTTGGAGCTAATATAACGAGTTAGGTGCATGCTTTTGTACATTACTTCTTGTTTTTATAACCCCGAGCATAAGACTATTTTAGAAGTGATAATTGGAGAGCAGGAGACAGCACAGCTGGAACCAAGTCAGATTCTCATTAAGTCAACATGTTTTGGAGTAAGTAATATTTTTTCCTCCTTGGAAAGGAAAGTTGTCATATAGCTTCTTTCTTTGGATAAGAAAGGGTCGTATACTTGAGTACAAATTTGGTTAGTATTAAAATTATTTTTTAAAACTATGCTTGTACTTTTGTCAGAAGCTGATCAGGTAAGGCAAATAGAAGTTCAAAGAGGCAGTGTTATCCTAGTTGGGGTAAGATCTCTGACTCTGAAGATAGAGCCATGGCTCGATCACTTGCTTGATCCTGGACATGCTATTTTATCTCTGTGAGCCTTAGTTTTCTCATCTCTCAAAGGGGAAAATACTAGTAGCACATTACTCTCAGATTGGTTGTCAGGACTAAAACTGGCAGGACATGTAATAAACATGTATGTCTGGCGTACTGTGGCCAATCAGTACATGGCAGGCAGCAGTGTCATTAATATTAGTTTAGTGTTGTG